CCGAAGGGGAAAGGTGGGTTAGTTCTTGGATAAAGAGTTAGGGGTTTAGTAGGCAAATGGTTCTGAAGATTTCACCTCAAATATTTCCCCCACGGTTTTGAAATATTAGGAATATAAGTGGAGTTAATTCTAATGGTTGGAATGACTGAAAGGTTCATTTCGATGTCCTTTGAGCTTTTAAGATTGATATTTTTGTGTTATCCTTCCTTTTCTCATTTGTTGAAATTCATTGTTGATGTTGGAAATATAAGTGGATTTTTTTGGTAAGATATTTGGGTTGGTAAGTCGTCTTTCCGATTGTTGTTATCCCAGCTTTTACCGAATAGCTTCTATTTCACCTTCTTGTGGGATTTAAGTTTTCAAAGGAATTTGAATGGGATAGAACGTTTAGCATATTGATTTGTTTATGTTATAAACGTTTCCTAAAACCCAAGTTTTTTGGATAAAAAGACCGTTTCTTTCCCACTTTTTTAGAGTAAATTGGAAACTACTTCATGCTCTATAACTCTTTTCCTTTATTAACTTTTTATATACACTCACAGCGACTTGGGTTCTTCATGAATACCCTATTATCACCTTTTATGATGCACTTGACTATACTTAACAGCCCATGTGTTGTAGAAAGTTATGATTTTCCCTTCTTTTTTCTCTTTATATTTGTGGTGTATAAACTCTGATCAATTTTATATTTGGGTTTGGAGTAAGAACCATTTTGTCGGAGTTGTTTTTCACTCACTTTCCTATTAATCCCATGGTATTGCAGGCATGGTAGGATGCTAGATGTCGAAACAGAGACCAATCCCATAGATCGAATCGTGGCCCATTTGCTCTTCCATAGGCATTTGGATTTATCAGAGAAACATTCTGACGCACCTGAATCACCTGTTTCTTCTAAGTTGACATGTGAACACAAAGCAGGTTTAGTGAACGTGTCAAATGAATGCTTGCCAGACAGTTTGAAGAACAAACAATGCTTTCCTCGTGAAGGATCTACAAATTATTGCCCATTGGGTGGTCCGACACATGGTGGAGCTATGAAGGCTGAAGCCTCTCTGTGAACAAATATGTGTCACATAATTTGATAAGGGTAATTCCTTCCTTTATCTCTCCCATGCTAATTAATAATTTAATAGGTTTCTAGTAAATGGCTGTACGGATTCACTGGTAATGTGGAGATTTTCTTTCATTGTCAGCCAACCACGATCTTCATCAAGTGTGGTCATGGAGCTTCCGGCAACACTATCGATGGGGAGTATCCTATAATTGAATACGCTTCATAAAAAGATTGCATGTTTCAAGACAATGTTCAGTATAAGTAGTTATGCATGTGTCAACTGTCATAAGATTGGCTAAAGTGCCTCTTTAAACATAAACGAGGCCATACCTTGCTACCTGTGTGAGTAAGATTT